TAGCCATTCTCTGAGAAGGCGACGCACGAGACAGGTGCCGAATGACCTTCGAAAGCGTGAACACTCTTCTGCTCTTTGACATCCCAAATACGGACAACATGCCCCTGCGATGAAGTTGTCGGCGTTGCAAGAATGAGGCCGTCTGGGTGGAACTTAAGTGGTGCAGACGGAGCTTCGCTAGGATCATCAGGCATCACCAGACTTAGCTCGCGTAGCGTACTCATCTCAGTGCCAAACGCCACGAGACCCCAGCTTGCATTGCTGCTAATAATTGCGGCGTAGCTTCCTGTTGGGTGAGCTGCCACAGATGCAGCGCCAGGGACTCTGACAGACGCAACGGTCGAGAGGTCCTTCTCGTTGGCTTTCCAGAGAGTTATTTTGTCGCCGCCTGAGGTTGCAAATACCGTGCCCGGTGAGGATGCACTACCCGGAATGATGGAACATGTATCCGCAACACAACCTTTACTTGTGGCGGCAGGGGCACTGGCCGCGGCGAGCCAAGCAACACCAGATTTTCCGCCAGCACAGACGATTGCACCTGAAAGCTGGCAAATAGCGACATCTGTTGCACCCGAATTTGAATTAAACAATTCCATGGACGTCTTCTTCGACCAGCCAATTATTGTTTCAGCAGGGCTCAGTTGCCTTGACACCGGTCGTTTCTTGCGTGACCTGGATGTTTTCTTCCAGAAATCTGTCAAGTGCGTGATGACTTCAGGGCCTAGCCCATCCTTGCTAATATTCGGTGTGTTGCTTGAGATTCCTTCCGACGTTAGCTTGCCTGCGAGACTGCGTTGCAGTTCGGCCACGAGCCTCTGCGCCTCGTCCCGCTCATTCACAAGACGCGCAATCACACGACACGCTGCATCGTGTTGGTAAAGTGCATGCGAGAGTTCTTTGCGGGTTGCGTGAAGCTGTTGTTTGATAACGTGGGTTTCCAGCATCACATCATCCCATTCATTTTGAAACATCGCTAGCATCCCCGGGAGCGACGTTGCTGTCAACGGCCGCGGGCGTACCGCAAGATTCGCCTCAACCTACGGACTCAAATAATTACAGTCTTGCGAAGAGGGCTGGTCGCTAAAATACCGACGCTGTGGCTTGCCGGAAGCAAGTCTGACACACTCAGTTCGTTGCCCGTGACAGGGCAGACACCTTTCGACGCCTCCAAGGACTTCTCGATTAATCGTCTTTCAAAAACGTGCCCCGAGGTCTTCGAAATCACGGGCTCTCGCGGCACTTCACCGCTTATATTGCAAAACATGTGTCGGTGTTACGTCGGCGAGCCCGTCAATTTGTTAACTACTAGTACTATTGTAGCACGAGCCTCCCGGGATAAAAGTCGGGGTACCTCATGACGGGTTCCTCGATCGCGGGCCCGGCACCTACCCACCCACCTCCTGGCCAATCAGGGACCTCCTTTTCGTTAGTTGCCTTCAAGTTGCCGCTCGCGAGATCGCCACAACGTGCGCGCGGAACCGCGCGCGCGGGTCGCGTTTGTCGCGGAGCTGCGCGGTCCAATCTCCGGTTTGCGATGAGAACGGGCACCTGCGCCGCTCGAGTCGCTGCGGCGAGAAGCGGCGCTTGCCCAGAGACTACGATAGCGACGTAAAGACACGTCGCCGAGGCGCCGCGCGACCGTCAGCCGCGGCACCGCGGGTCATGACCGCGTGCGCGCGCGCGCGTTACAAGTACCCATCAGTACACTGTAGATTTCCCAAATCAGGCCTCCGGACCCACCCACCCACCTCGTCATGAGGTTCGAATCTNTTGTCCGTGGGTGGCTCTTGCTAGTAGCGTGAAAGTTCGATTAAGAGCAAGCTAAGCGGGGCAAAATTAAACCGACCATTCCGGTGCCGTAAACACGCGCCCCTCGCCGCCGCCGGACAGCTCGGGCGGCGGAGACAACTGACAAAAAACGGCGCGTCCTATGCGCGCGCTCACGGCCGGGCGCCGGGGCCATCATGAGCTGTGGGATGGGTTCGATTCATGGACGTTTGGATTCAGAGGTGTGCCACTAGGAACAATTGTCATGTAAGGTGGGAGCTTCGTGTCGTCAGTACATTGTCTGACTCCATGAATTGACCTCGCATGAGGTGAGTCCACTATGCATGAGAGTGTTGGGAGAACAACTCTCCATACACCTAAAGCATAGGCTGTATCAGCACGTTGAGCAGAAGGTAAAAAGAAAATAGATACTCCCCCAGCTTTTGAAGCTGTCGGGTCACGTGCTGTAGCGCCCTGTATCATCATTACGGCATTGCTGACAGTCTCCTGCGCTTCACTAGAGAGCTCCCTGATGCCGGCACAAGATACACCCAGCAGGGGGTAGACGCGCGCGGAATTTCTTTCCGGTCTCTAGCCTCCCTTTAGGCCCAACTCGACCCGACTAATATCCCGGCGCGGCTAGCTCAACGCAGATAGTCCCCACCGCGCGGCTGGCGCCTCAAAAAGTTTTGATTTTCACCCTGCTGTTCCACCCTCGGACGGCAGGGCAGCCCCATTAGGCTGCCCCCCTGTCCCGGAGTTCACTATCTCGCTAGGATGTCCAAACCCTCGAAACGATACCCGACGTCCACACACACACAGGCTACACACGGAACGGTGCCTTGCGGGGACATATGCTACGGCTAATTTCAAATATCGCGGGGTAGGGGGGGCTGAGCTCGGTCGACTATACGACGCCAGGAAAATGGAGGCCAGCGGACTGCGCTACTGAACGGGAACCCGGTGGGGCATTTGGGCGACTTGTGGTTTATGAACATAGAACACGTTGCCCGGGGGGTCGATTTTGCTTGTGAAGACCGCCATCAGCGAACTACGCTGGCTGCCAGGCTGGCGGAGCAGGCGGTTCGTGTATGGGGAGGAGTGAGTCCAGGGCTGACGAAAGGCTGATGAGCGGAGAACTCGAAGGCTCATTCACGACACTTCCATCGGGGTTGGCTCCAAGCGCGCCGCAGAAAGCAGTCCCTACCATCGGCCTCTGGAAAAGTCCACGTTGGGGTATGCGAGCTTCTACAGACGGGGTGGGTCTTGGCGTTGGATAACAAGCCCTGCGCTCGTTGATATTCTCCCACTTACGACGTTCGATGGCTAACTTCTCGCGAATGCGCCTACTACCACACTGTTTGAGGAAGAGTAGCGTCATGTTTCTGCCGGGAGACACATGAACGCGCCTCTCTTGGACAATATGCATCTTCTGCACTGCGATCTCCCTCGCGAGCTCCTCATGCTGCTGCTGCAATGTGACACGTAGTTTAACCTGGGCCGAAATGAATTATTTCAAGCTCACCTTTTTTTCTTAATCGAGCTATTTCGGCAAGACGTCCGTCCCTCGTTCAGAAGCCCGATGAGCGAATGTCTCTCGTCCAATGGGTCTGGAATTTCACACTCTAGTTTGAAGTCCGGACTCACGGTCTGGATAATTTCCACACAGGGTTTGGCTGCCGCCTCCACGCGCCGTTGGGTAGTCGCGCGCTTCGTATCTGCAGCCGCGGCTTTGGCATCTGCGTTCGCACAGCGCCACACGGCCGCTCGGTCGCAAACGACGTTTGTCACGTGCTGCTTGGCATGAACTACAGCTTCGGTTTTGTGGTGCCGTCGCGCTAGCGCGACATGGCTACCAAGTCGCGTGGCGACGAGTGCCGTCGCCGCACGCGTCGCTGCGCTCACCTTCGTTACGATAGCCTGTGGAGAGGGTGAGTTTGAATTCAGGTTGGCCCATCATATACTCTCAACTCTGTCGTCTTGAAGCCGCCGCCGCTGAAGAGTGATGAGCTGCGATTCAATAGGAGTTACATGCAACCTCTGAACCATGTTAGCTTTGTCATCCCAACAGGGGCAGGTCAGTCAATTTGAAGTCCACCTTGTTTCGGTAACAGCGACGCTTGCTCGCTCGCCTTGTTCGCGGCCGCCTGCGCGAGGGAGGGGCTATTCAGACTCACTTGATGACTTGATAGAAAGCTAGTCACGTTTGCATACCCAGGGGCTTGCTGTGGCATCTCGCGCACGAGCCTGCTGAAGCTTCAGCGCCTTGCGTGCCAGACCGACACGGTCTTCGGTGGCCTGCGCGAGGAGCAACTGTCGAATATTCAGTCAATGATCCACACAATCCGTCCATGTTGAACGCCGGGGCTGGCTCCGCGCTTAGCTCGACACGCGCGGTCTGCGTGGGCGAGGGCACAAGAGTGAATCGCAATTCGAGTGGCATGAGGCCGAAGTCACTACTCTGGGACCTGCCTTCAAGCCGCTCGCGCGCCTTGGACAATGCGTCGGCAGCTTGCCGTTTGCGCGTGTGGGCGGCGTCTTCTGCCAACTCCTGCCGACGCCTGTCACGAGCCACGAGCGCTTCGTGGCGATAGCGTTTCTCAGCCGCCCAGTGGGTCGCGAGTTCGTTTGCTCGACGCGCGCATGCAAAGAAAACTACCGGTAGCGGCCTGCGCAATGAGGGGTGTACAATTTTAGCCTGAAGTCAAGGCCGAATGTTTGCGAAAGATGCTGCGCTCACCTCTGTCGCAGTGACCTGTGCGGGACCGGTTCTAAATCGCCCAAACGACTGGCAAAAATCCCGGCGGGTTCAAAAACTCCGAGACTTGCCCTCTAGGGGTATTGGCTTCTAGTGTCTGCGGTGGCGCAGGTGGAGCGCGAGTCGAAGCTGCATATCCAGAGGCTTGTTCACTCGGCGCAGGTGTTGGGGGGGGTGATGACCTGCGCAAGAATCACGCTCGAGCTTAGCGGGCGCTCGCCGAAATTCCGTCGATTTCCGCGACCTCGAATTTGCATGCGTCTAATGCCCTGGGGCTCGCGGGTCTAGCGATACTTCGGAAGCGACGTCCTCCGGCCACGTCGAAGCCAAGTCCTCGGTCCCGCTCCCGGATAGAGAATCATCAAAGTAGAGCCGGCGCTCCGATGACCTGTGCAAGACATTCATGTCCGATCGCGTTCGAGTACCTCAAAAATTTGTTCGTGGTCGTTCGAGCACCCCGGAACTGGCCGCCCGGGGGACGCGACCACAAAGCCTCTATGCCTGCGCGGAATGTGACGATCGAACATGAGTTCGATTCGTCCCCACTTTCCATCGTCAGTCGAGTTCCAGCGCGGCGCTATCTTTCGACACTGGACCTTGCGGCGACGTGTCGCTTACGGGCGAAGCTCTAGGCGCCGTGGGGTGTCGCAGATTCTTAGACGAACTTGGTGCCGTGGTGCCGCCGCCAGTCGATCCTAGCGACGGGCTCGCTGCAGAAGTGGCCGCGAGCTTGGCGGCGGCGGCGCTGCTGGCGCTGCTGTCTGAGTTTCGGACGCGCGGCATGGAGATGTGAGTTGGCGCGTCATCGCTGCAGCAAATGGACAGATCCGACGCCTGGCGTCGAGAACTGGGGGCTGAAAAGAGCCCCCCCGAGGCTAGGCTTTGGGCCGCGTCAGAGGGCTCGGAGCCCATTACCCTGTGTTCGGCACCAGATCCCCCGGGCCGCTGCCGCGGCATCCGCCGCTTCGTGGGAGCCTCGAGAAGCGTCCGAAAGTGAGGGTGCTTGGCTTCCTCTCGAATCCGCGCCGCGCCAAGACGATGCGCTTCGAGGTGGGCCTCGGCCTCGAGGGCCGCGACCTTCGATCGAAGGCAAGCTTCGAGCCTCCCGAGGGAGGCGCGATAGACGGCGTCCTCGTTCGCGTCCGCCTGCCGCGGGAGGTCCACAGTCTTGACCGATGTCCCCCCAAAGACGCCCCTCCCGAAGCTCGACTTGAGATTGATGCTGCCAGCCGCGGCACAAAGCCGCTTCCCACGCGGGCCAAGCTTGCGGCTCGGGCGCCGACGGTCATCAGGTCGCGGATTCGAGATCGCGGACACAACCACGAGTTCGCCATCGTGCCCTCGAGTCCTGCCACCATCGCCCTCGTGCTCCGGCATAGACAAAGGCTCCCGTTGCGCAAGGTTCTGGCAGAGGAGCTCCACAGCAACGCGGTCCAGGTGCCGCTGCGGTCGTGATGCGGAGAGCCAGTCTGACAGTATGGGCGCCTCCACGTCGCCCAGGCGTGTGTTCCGCTCAAGATCCTCCGCACTCCGGAGTGGCGCACAGGTCCCCGTTCGGTGATCCCAAGTGAGCATGAGCAATGCGCCCGCGCGGTTCCTTGCTTCGTGGGCGCTCTCGAAACGGAGGCTGATCCAGCGGACAATGCTCGAAATCAATGACCCGGGTGCCCCTGCAACATCTTCCGCGCTCGTCGAACTAGAGGACGCACCGATGGCGAGCACACCCTGGCCAGGGAGCATAAGCCGCGGCAGCGACGTGGGCGGCGCTTCGACTCGCTTGGAGAGCCCGGTGCACCTCGCGTTGTTGGGCCTCTGCATGAGCGCAACTCCCACCTACAACGCCGGGAAAAAGATAAAATATGGGCTCACACAGGAATGCATACGCCCGGGCACGGGCGCGGTACGTCGACATTCGTGGTCAATAGCGCTCGTGCAGAGCCTCGAGTCATGCCGCTGCGCGAGCCGCCATTATGCCGCGGCGGGCTGAACGCAGCAACGACGCGCGCGAGGCGGTTGCCACTGCACGATGTGGGGCGGAATCCAGCCTTTTCGGGCGCAACGAGGCCCAGCGGTGATGCGAGGACGACTTGGTGCTGCGCGTTGATGCGAAAATGGGCGCCGAGGGGCGGTGGGGGCCTGATGCCGTCGACCCCACGCGCGCCAGCACCGCCACCGCTGACAAGGAAGTAGTAGAGCTCGGGTTCTATGTACAAGGTGTCGCCGTGGGGCACCGATGCGACGCGTTTCCACGCGCTGAGCTGCGCATGCCTGCGCTTGAGTGAGCCGCAGCCCACGTTCCGCCACCAGCGGGATAAGGCAACGGCTGCGCGCCTCGCGATGCATCGGGCCACTACCAAGGGGCGCATGGCCGCTCGCACTGCGCCGCCTCGGACCGCCGCCTGGATCGTGGCGGCTGCGGGCGCGTCTGAGCGCCAAAGAAATCCATACCCTTCCACGCCGGCACGACTCGCGCGGAGACGAGCGTGGCGTACGGCTCGCAGCAGGAGCGCCGCCGTAGGCGCCCGGGCGGCATGCCACCAGCGCGGTGGTGGGTGTGGCGGCGCGCATAGGGCGCGTGCGATCGCTGCGGTGCGGCCGCGGCGCGCATCGTGGGCGACGCCACGGAGCTTGAGCCGCGTCGAAAAGACGGGGAGGACCGCACGCCGAGGCCCCAAAGCGCTACGTACCCGCATGTCATCCACGGCGCTGCCGGTCGCGCTCACACCTATGGTTGCGCCACGGGAGCGAAGCGCCGGCCGACAGAAGGAGATGACACCACCGCCGGCGAGAGCAAATCGAATCGTGGCACTCCGTGTCCCGAGGACCGTCTGCAGTGTCGGTGCTGACCGTGTGAACCAGCCCGCGGCGCAGCTCCACGGCGCGCCGCAGCTGGAAGCGACGTTTCGCTCTAGCCAGTTGGACACCGGTTCCCACCCCAAGGGCCCGCCATTGCTGTCCCGGAGCTCCGACACTCTGCCCTGGATCTCAGCCAGCTCTGGGTAAAACTCGGACTCGGACTCGGACTCGGAGACGCACCCGACGCGTGCCCTAGCGCCAGCGAGCACGGCTTCTAGGGCGTCCATAAGGAAAGGCTCGGACTCGGCGATGAAAAGCACGCCGCCACCTCGCCGGCCGCCGAGGCCGCGAGAAGCGGCCTCGGTCGCAAGGACGCTCCAGGCTGCCGCTGCGCGGCGGTATGCCAGCGATATTTTCCGCGCCGCGGCGAGCTGACGTCCAAGTGACGACGTGGTAAACGCTGCGCGTGCCGCAAACACGCCAAGAGCCCCAGGATATACACGTTGGCGCAATTTTCCAGGCTTGAAACCTGACAGAATCGGAGTAAAAATGCCGGTACTTGTCCGGTCGGAACACGCATGCCAACCCAAAGCTATCGGATTGAGGCGTACGAGACATCAGACGCCGGTGATCTAGCCGGCATCTCCGCTTTCCTCGACCGTCGCGAACGCACCACGCTTGAAGGTTGCGAGCGCATCGGCTGCATCCGTCGGTGGGAGGACGCCGACGCAATCGACGAGCTCAATGAGGGAAATTGGCTCTTCGAGCTCGACAAGGAGGTCACAGAGGTCTCGCGCGGCAGTGACCTGCGTCGGTCGTTAAAACTCCAGCTCGTGGCCAAAGAGTTGATGCCGTCTGAATTCGGTCCCCGAAGTCCAGCTGAACCTCATTCGCATTGCTCGCGGGGCCTCAACCCAGTCCTCAAATGCGACGACTAGCGCTTATTCTGGGTAATTTCACTGCTGCGGACGAGGGATATCACGATTAGCAACTTTTGATTCATCTACTTTGTTTTTGGGATCTCGAATGTGGTGAAGTGGGAGTTGGCTCGTAGCCCCTCTACTCACACTGCCCATGACGCGGACAAGGTAGCGCCGCGCCACGGCCTGGATTGTCTTTGCACTATGCCGGCGCCGCGCAGCTGCTCGCGCCTTGTCGAGACGCACGACAGCGATAGCTTGCGCGAGAGATTTGCGCCGGATGTGGCCTAGGACTGTCTTCCGATGGCGCTTGCGGTAAGCGCGGTATGCCTGCTGGATTGCACCACAGGGCGAGAGCGTGAGGCTCAGCTTCGCTGTGATCTTCGCCACGAGATGGGCGTGCTCGATGATGCCACTTTCCCCTCCGAGCGAGGCCGCAGCTCGCCGCAAGCCCGCAAAGTCGAGGCCCAGCGCCGGCGAGGCGCCCCAGCGTGTGTTTACTCTCTCACCTGCCTCGCAAAGCACCGGCGCCGCAAAGCGCGTGAATGAAAAGTTGGCGCCCTCGATGAGTTCCTCATCGGCAACGATATGCGCGTCGAGGAGCTTGAGGTTGGGTGCCGCATTCACTACCGCTGCGCGGTACGCACCGCTCCATGCAATTGGGTTGCGTGCGAGTGTCAGCACGACGAGCGCCATGGCCGCCGCGAGGCTCGCCCGCGTGGCTTCCCAGGCAGACACGTAATTATGGTCGCAGAGGAGCGTCTCAAGACCAGCAGGGCCGGGAGATCCCTCGAAGAACGAGGGTGCCGGCAAGTGGCGGACACGGTTGAAGCTCACGTCGACGTACCGAAGCCGTGGGCATGATTCGAGCGCATCGAAGTTGCCCAGGTCGTTGCCACGGAGAAGCAGCACCTCGAGAGCGCTAATCCCGGACCTATGAGTCTGGCCAGCTTTGGACCATCTTGCCCTGACTGTCAGCATCGGGCGTCACGAGTCCCCCCCCATCGAACTTCTTGCACTCTCAATAACTACGGGCGTTAAGAGTAAGTTTTTCTATCGAGCCTGCCGGGCTTGTCAGAGATAACATATGCCCGCGCCCCCCTAGCTGTGATGGAAGGGAGACGCTGTTTCATACGCACGCGGCACCTCGGCGATGCGATCGAGGACAAAATTCATCGCGGTTTCGCACTGGCTGTCACTATCGGGCGTCCTGAGTATATCTTCCGAGAGTGCCACGTTCGTGTTTGACTCGTCCTCTATTTCCGAGGTTTCTGTGTCTATGTTTACGGCCGGTATTGCCGAGAGCTCCGCTATTCTGTTTTCTGCGTTCGAATCCGTGATTTCCTCGACCGCGTTGATTCCATTAGGCGCGTGAGATAATTTGACGGCTCGAGATAAATCGACGACTCTCATTGTACGGGCATCTGAGCGATGTGGGTTTTCGTGCGCCTTCTTGGCGCGGATGTCTAGGTCGATGGTGCCAAGGCCATCGGTGTCGGCGAATTTGAAATTTCTCGGGATGCGCCATGGAACTGGGATGCGCTGCAGCAGACGGGATCGTAGCGGGACGCTAGTCAGGTGGTCCTCGTGAACCACCGGAATGATTACGTTGAGGGTGATCATGCCTGCGGTTTCTACAAATGAGAGCCGATACAATAGTACAAATCTCGTCCGGAAAAAGGGCACTTTTTTCATGTGGGGCCAGTGGCGAGGAGAAAAAAAAAAAAGAAAAAAAAAGAGGCACCGGAGGCGACGGAGGCGCCGGAGGCGCCGAAGCCAGGCGGAGCGACGCGCGGACTCGTCCCGCCGACCCGTCTTTAAACCCCGCGGAATTATCCCATCGCGGGACCTCCTAGTTCGCGCCCGCGCCCAGAATAAGGTGCTCTAGCTACGGACCGGGCGCGCCAATTGCTTTACGTCCCAGCCCATGACCGCCAGCCTCTCGAGCGTCTCTGCGGCTAGCCTGAGGGCGTCGCGCTCGTCGTCCGTGGTCGTCTGCGCGGAGGCATCCCGGATGTGGCGGGATAATGGACTAAGGTATCGGCTTCGCGGCGCGCGCGAGCCAGGAACTCCGGCCCTAAGTGTGGTCCGTGTCGCGCTTTGGTCAGTTTGAAGGCATAGCAGTAGGCTCCCATAAGCCTCCTGTTTCTTCATTTCAAAATACTGCTTTTTCTGTGCTAGTGATGCTGCTGTAGCATTGTTCGTGGACATGAAGAATGGGTTGAAGGTGCCTCCATGCTGTGTGTCATCATACTCATCATGTGGATGCAATTGCGACAGATTCTACGCTTTGGTGTTTGCTTGCACAATTCTGTGCCATCCTGGAAACTGCTGTCTAATGGTGAGGTCGTCGCCGCCCAGAGTCGGGAAATGGCTCAGTCTGGCATTGCCGCCTGGTCTACTGGGGTATGCGACTCCCCCTTGTGCAATTTTGTAGCCACCACCGTACCAGGTTCCTCTTATCTCGGCCATGCTCGACGTTGGGGGCTTTGTTCCTCGCGGGGTTTGTTTGTAAATTCGCGTGTGCGCTTCGTGCGTGTAGTGCGAGTGTCGCCCGTGTGTATTTCGGGTTTTGATTGCGATCACAGTGCACCTGCTACCATGATAAACGGCGACTATCGAGGTCAGAACGCGAGTGTGGTTAAGCACAGTCAAAGTGCGCTTGGCGATAGGCCGGCTACCTAGGGAGCCTACATTCCGCTCCTTGGGTTATGCTACCCTAACTCGGGACGATTCTATCCTCCCTATGCTGGCACGCTCATGCTGGCCTATGCTGGCTATGCTAAGTCTGCCTTATACTGGCCATGCTCATGCTATACTATGCTGGTGCTTCATACTAGCATACTCGGATTCTAACACACGACGCCCCCGGCAATAATGGGCCGGCGGCTGGCGCTGCGGCTGGGGGCTTTACTCAGGCGCCGGGGCCCCGGGCGGGCCCCAAACTAGAAAGCGTCGTATTTCCCGCGTTCGACGTACATGGCGCTCGCGCTCGCTTGAAATCTCCAAAAACCGACATTTTCGGCCATAAGTTCTGCCAATCGATGACCTACCATGATCGGCTGCGGTTCCAGAGCCCCAGATAAGCGTCTACCGCGATGAGACAAGCAGGGGTTCCGCGGTCGAGGTGCCCAAAATCGACAATTTTCCAGTGACATGGGCAGGAAGGCTACGAAGTATCAAAGTAACGTAGGTTTGATCGGAAAAATATCTCGCCAAGTACTTGAAACTATCTGGAAGAAGTATCACGCCAGCGTCCACATCCCAGTCCTGACTTACATGCGATCAGGGCCTACTCTGGCAACGAAATGAAGTAAAGCGGAATATCGACTGAGTCGATGATCGTGCTCCCCGTCAGAGGACACTCTGCAGCAATAGGTAAGCCTTGTCGCTGAGCTTTGCCGTTCTCTATTGTGTTTGTGTGAGGCGTGACAGATAACTCCTTCCGCTTTGCTTTCGTCAGGTTCCTTTCTAAAAAAGAATGCCCACTCGAGAAATAAAAAAAAGGCTCAGAAACAACTGGACATCCAGATAATGAACATCGTGCATTCGAAGCAAGACAGATGTCTTGTGTGTACAAGGTCAGAGACTCATTTTGGATGTTGATGCTATTATGCTTGTAGTCATTTATTTCAGCTCGTAACGTATCCAAGCTTTTGTTATACTGTTCGAGCGACGAGCATATTTCTGTTTTGAAGGCTTCAATAACAACAAAGTCAGGGAAGAATCGGAGGATGTCTTCGATTGATAGCATTTGGCAATCTTCGAGAATCTGAGCAGACTCCACGATTGCGTACCTTTGGCTATCAAGGTACTGTTGGCGCAAAGTTACAGCGCTACTCACGAACGATCATAAGTAATGTGTTCCGCTATCATTAGCCACAGACGCCTAAAAACGAGCATGTGTACAGGTCTTCTAATCATGGGCACAGCTGCAACTGCCTTTTCATGACGGTTTCGACAGCAGGCAGATTCGCATACTCCTTTGCAAGCTGGACATCAATTGTCAATGCGAGTGTGACAGCTTCTTCGTACAACGCAAGACTCGCATATATCCATGCACAGGAACGCACACAGCGCCTGTTTGAACAAATTCGGAGAGTGGATTGCAGTTGAAAAAGTTCATAGCTGAGTGTAAATAGGCGTGTGGCAGAATCAATATCAGCAGTAAGTATTAGAAAATATGTCTCCACTGCTGCCTCGATCGATGAGTATGTCATGCATCCTTGTAAGTATTCACAACAGCGAGCGGCAACGGTTGAATCGAATTGGCCGTGTCGAAGCTGAACTGAGTTTAGAGGCTTGTGAGTCCACATCACAATTGTTGGAACTGATGCATTTTGTAGTAGCTGGAGTGAGGTATTATAAAGCATGGAATCAGCCCTAGCAACTGAAACCGCATCAAGGACACTCAACAATTCAGACCATCCTGAAAAAGAGATGTGGCAGCCAAAATTATTACAGTCGGTTTATAACGCAGGACAAGACTCTTTTCACACAAAAAATAATTAACCGCTTGCTCGTGAGTTTTATTGAAATATGATGATTCACTGCCGTGACTTGTGAGCAGATTGCAAGTTACCTCATCATGTAATGCTGCTTGTTGATTACCAAAGATATGATTCAAATCTGAATCAGTCAAGCATACCTCGCTATTTGCTGTCATCATCTGGCATAGGAGAATCTCGACTGACCAAGTGCTTGTGATTGTAGCTTGCGTTTTATCATGATAACTTAGTATGCCCATCTTCGCAGCTAATAACGTCGCAAGAGCGTTAGTCTTGCCGGACTGAAGAAATAAGAGAGCCACCTAAGGTTTATTATTGCGACAATAAGCACGCCACAAGTATACCTCTTCAAATGAAACGATGCTTTGGAGCAAAAGATATCTTGCTGCAACTTCAAATTTATGTGCGTCTAAAAAAAAGCGACCATGAACGAAGTCGACCAGGGATCTTTGATTGATCGACTGGCAACATTGATGAGCGACGGCAAAGCAGTATTCTTGGCCCGATACAGCATTTTCTAGATACGAGCTCCATCTGCCTCAAATACTGTGTAAAAAGAATGTTGTAAGATGACACCGGAAATCACGCGCGTGGTTTCGAGTCGCGTAGTCCAATCTTATAAAGCATGCTTCCTCTGAGCCACAGGGTGTCATCGACGTAGTCTCGTACAAATGAGCCCGCAAGGGGAATGGATGTACTACGCGGTAGTACAATTTCCTCAGCGATCTTAGCATGCTGACTGGCTACCAGAATCAGTGATTCATACAAAAGCCAGTAGCGTTCATCAACGAGCAAAACAGATCGCGGTGTTTCCTTTTGCGGGTAGTTCCATATTGATACATGTGGGGATATTTGTGCATGCCTGTGTTGAATGAGTCGCTTCATTCGCAATAAGATTTCAGACGTTGAACTAAAACAGAGTTTGGAGGGAATCTAAGTTCAGCATGATTTCTAATTGGAATATGCCAGTACTAGCCAGCACCCCGAATGACCACACTACTTGTCCACACCTGTGCTCAAGAGAGCAGTGTAGATCAGTACATGCAGCAGATCCTGGAATCTCATAAAATGCTGGCCGGACAAGTAGTGATCGGTAGCATTCAAATAGCGAATGGAAGCTAAGTGCACTAGATTCACAAACATGCTAATTACCAATATTGAATCACACCGCAGCACACGTAGGGCCACCATGAAAGTAATAAATCCGGTTTGGGAGGTGCGTAGTGGTAAGCAGCACAAATAACACTGTCGCATGGCCTGGACTTGCAATAATCTCGAAGTATGATCCGGATATGGCGGCAATTGGATCAAATTTATAAACTGGATTGAAATAACGGTCTAGCTCACCAGCGTCAATCTGAGCTTCATAGATGTGCCCGCAAGCTGTGCCGACGATAATTACATTAGTTGATCCTGCGTTACCAAGAGGATTGAAAGCAATCGTCGTAACAAACTATGGGAGTAGCAAACAATCAATTGTGTGAAGCATGATAGAAGACACACCAGAGCATTCCATTTCGTTAATTTGCGTGGTACCTTTGACGTCATTGAACAATACCAATTTTCACCATTTGTGAGTGATATGATAATATGACTTCCAGTAAAGTCGATGAATAAATTAGAGACATTAGCATCAGTATGTTTCGTTGGGATCTTGATTTCTTGTGCATTTGTAGATGTACCCGATATCATCACTATGCCGCAGCTGAATGTTGCAGCTGCAATAATTCCGTTTGCCACTACGACATCCTTGAAGGAGGTAGCCTACAAAATGTTCCTGGGGAGATGATTAACCAAAAACGCGGTTCAGTGCATCTCTGAAAGGAGTGCATTTTGGTGAACTAGAGAATCTAGTCAAACTCATACTTCTCGCTAACTTGCTTCTCCTTTCGTATTAACAGTTTTCGATATCTGCATCATTCTTCTCGTCGCCATGGAATATGCATAGCCTTGGAGCGGCAATTAATAACCTATGTAGGTTGCTTTGGTTTCCGACCCTAGTTAGTTTTCGACCCTAGAGCAGTGTGCGAAACGACCATAGGGCTAGCCGCGGCCATAGAAATATTAAATATTGTTTCGCGGTCGCCCGGCGGGAGGTCCTCATAGAGGTCCTCCGTCCACCGCGCGCGCGGGGGTCACGCCGGAACGCAAATTGAGGCAAAATTGGTGACTTATGGCCCCGGCCAGGCCGCGCTGTCAAGTTAGCGCGCTAAACATATCACCTGAGGCGTTTTGAGAGGTTGGGGTCGTTGGTTCGGGTCGGGAATCGGATGATATATCTTCAATGTGCGGTGACACTTCCCCCCAACGGCCGTGGGACAATTCGTTTATATTATTCGTTTCGCACACTGCCCTAGAGTAGGGTTCCTGGACTCAAAATGCGGCTATTTGCCGCCCACAGACCCGATTTTGTGGCTGTAAAGAGCCAAAGGACACCCCGCCGAGGCCCTCGAGACGAGGCAGGGCCGTGGTCACGGAAGTGCAACTTAAAATTTGACCTACGTTGAGGTCAACTTGAACTTAGGAAGCCGAGCTGGCACCGAATGTGCCGCGCCCGGGCGGAGAGGTCGCGTCCGCGGACGGCCGCGCCCGGCCGCCCCCTCGCGCTGGTGGCGACCCTCCGCCAGGCGGTACTCCACCCCCTGCCTCTGCAGGTTCACTTGACGACTACGATCCCAATGCCTATAGTGGAAGCTCATATCCTGTAATAGACGGAGAGTCTTCCGGAGTCCTCAGGCTGGACCTAGTGAGGCAGATCCTCTGCCAGTTCGTCCAGTAGCCCCAGCCCCCGTATACTACGGCAGCTGAGGTGACGTGAGGATAACAGAGACGCCGGTGTACCGCCACTGCGTAACCTCGGTAGTTCACCCTCGCACGGCAGGACAGTCCCATTAGGCTGCCTCCCCGTGCCGGAGTTTATTATCTCGTTACTTCCCAGGGCAAGCGGCTGTGTTGAGGTCCATGTTGAAGTACAGGGCTTGGGGGTTGAAGCCCAAGTTGAAGCGGCGTTTAACATGTCCCGCCGGCGGGATATGTTAGATTAGGGGTATGGGCTAGGCAAGTTGCCGTAGCCGACTGTCCCGCCGCACGGGGCCGTCGATTTTCAGTCACGAGGCAGCTGCCCGGCTACTTGGCCGTTCGGGCCGGCACTTCGCTCGATAAAGCCGGCTCTTTTTGGATAATCCCCCTTACTCAAAGGACCCCGGCCTCTATCTGAGCTTCACGGCCCTCTGCGCCAAATGAGACTGATCGTTCTTTAACTGCCCTTATCCTTCAAATGCGCACACGCTTGGCTTAAACACGATCAAATTGTGAATACAGTTTGCTCAATAGCGTCGTGGACGCACACGGGAGTCACGTTCGCCAGTTGGGGCGCAAATCAGCCTTCCAGTACGTTCGATCATGCTCGGTTCTAGAGGAGTACGAGGCTTTGTTTTATAGTCGTACGCTTGAGGTATATCAAAGAATTCCTTATGTGTCATATGGAGAAATGAGTTCTGTTTGGACACGGCCACATGGTGACGGTGGTCCCAAAGCGTATTTGGTTGCCACTTGGCCGCTCTCTGTGTCGGCCTCAAATCGAATGTCAGAGATGACTTAGGTCTCCTCGCGGGGGCCGCACCCGCAATCCGCTTAGGTAATTTTTGCGGCATTTGCAGCGATGCTGCCTGGACAAAGAGGTCGGGAGCTGGATTCAGCGGCCAGCACCCCCCCATGCTACGATAACACGACTTGAGTTGCCGATGCAAATCAATTAACCTATGAATGTCGGAGTGAGTTAGAAAGTGACCACGGCGCTGAATGGTGGGCTCGTCGTCGTCCTTCTTCGTTCGTCGGCGCTGAGGTCGATCGCGCTTCGAAAAGCAGTCATTAACCGACGCCTAGGGGAATCGTGACGTCACGTGCGGGGGCTGAGGTGCCTCTTTTAATAATTACATCTAGACGCTTATTGTGGAATGAGTCAAGCGGAACGGCCAGCGAGTTCACTGTCATAAGGCGTTGTAAAAAAAAGTCTCGCGCGGCCCGAAATCCTCAGCTGCCGCGTAGTATAGCAACACCGTAGTATACGGGGGCCGGGGCTACTGGACGAACGGGCAGAGGACCTGCCTCACTAGGTCCAGGAAGACTCTCCGTCTATTACAGTGCGAGACGCAACTATAGCAGGGTTAGAAAGTATCAAGGAGAGGGGAGGGGTCTTGGGTGGCTCTGTACCGGCGAGCCACTAGGAAGGTACAAATCTCTCGGTCTCTCTAATTATTCCCCTAACATTGCTATCTATATACTAATTCGCAAAGTTGCGGAGCGTCCGTCCGAGCAGCAACATAAAACTTCCAATAGGTGGTTCAAAGCGAGCGCAGCGAGCAACCTCAATCCAGCGAGTGGCCAATAGCTCGCGAAGCGAGCTTGCCGGCCGTAGGCCTGGCCGTAGGCCGGCTTTGTTTTCATGAAACGGGCATAAAATGCCAAATCTCAGACTTCCCTCGTGATGGCCTTATTTGGTGATGAGGCCCACGCGTTCTATGAGATCTTCGAAACGAGTGAAAGCTTTCATTTGGATGGACTTGAGTTACTCTCATTCGAAAAATCTTCAGTGAACTTTTGGCCCTTTGGCTTCAGATTTGCGTGCTCTTTGTCTCATCGCGCGGGTTCTCACCTGGGGCGCTTACGTGCAGAATGCGTCTGTAAGCGCGGAAACAACGGCCGCCTAGTGTACCAGGTAAGTTCACCGAACTTGTCGGAGGATGTGGGTCAATGTAAGCACCTCTCTGACATGTTCCGATGCGTAGCCGATGCATATTATCATGGTACATACCATCAAAATTATGCATCCATACGGTGCACCAATAATAACTCAGCTCAAATATTAGAGTATCCCCATTATGCCCTGACGCCCTTGATAAACGCAGAGCAATTCGATCGTGGGATTATACTGCGTGCTGATGTTGCTGAGCTTATTGTGCAGCGCAACATCCTGCGAGCGAAGCTTTCCTCCAGTAAAGTTTCTACCTGCCCTTGGTATGAGCCCCTTGTTTCGAGGGGATATGTGCACAGTCATAAGAAAATGGAGATGCCGCTGATGCCAGCATTGCCATGCAGCTTGCTCCAACGCATGCCCAAGTACATGTTTTATCTGCCCGACCATGATATCATAGATGGGGGGTGGGAACCTAAGCTGGATCAACCATGGCGACAAACGCTCGTTTGTGCAGTGGAGGATTCTCTTAGCAACTGTCAAAAACATGTCGAGAGGCTTCTCTTTTGCCATTTAAAGAGGAAGCAGTTGAGGTGTTCTGGATCTGAAAAAAAGCAACGAGTTGAACCCGAACTCGCGCCGTCACGCCTTGAAAAAAACTCGCAGCATCGACAACTTCGCGAACGTGAACGAGAAAGTGATCGTCTTGGGAGGCTGTTGCGTCGCGCCGCAGAGCTTGACGTGACTCGATGCTGCAA